GTTACACAAGAAAAGAAACCCAAGGAAAGACAAGCACTTGCTCAGGTAACTAAGGTACAGACAGAGAAGGCCATGAAGTCATCTGCTCATGATTAACATCCAAGAGACAGGTAAGTTAGCGAAGCATCGACTTCAAAGCTGGAGACCTACTTCTCATTCTCCGAGAGTCATGAGACACTGGGCAAGGATAAGCTTCAAAAAAGCGACTGAAAATAAGAGTTCAAGGTTGACAGCAGTTGCTGGCATACAGTAGACAGAGAACAACAGTTGAGAGTAGAAAGAATGAAAGCAGCAACACAAATTTGTATCATGCAGGGTCCACTTATATCTGTGCATTTGTTTCTGAGGCATAGGAAGGTTTTTGTTTCACATTAAAAAACCAACCAAAAAACCCAAAGAATAATGGGCACAATACACTTTTACAACTGCATTTAAGTGATTAAAATGGAATTTGGTTGATTTATTAATGCTCAAGCACTGTGCAATCATTATGCAGGAAGCCAGATGAACAAAGTCAACTTCCCTGACTTCAGAAAAGACAGGTTCCTAGTTCAAATACCTCCTCTGAAGCTGACTCAATGACTTACTCCCCAAGTCTGTAACTTGGTGTTATTCAGTTAATAGTTATCTGTGGAGAGGCTGCTCCTCCTGAGGTCGGAGTTAAGTATTAAGAAAACTCCGCAGTTTTCTACATTCTCAAACATCATTTTATTTATGCATGCTATTTAGAATTATCCAAAGAGTCAATTAATAACATTTTCTCAGCCCAGCACTTACAATGAAATGTCTGACTTTTAAAAAAGTATCTATTAACCACCTCTAAACAAGAGCAGCCTAATCTGCCTCATCTGACATTTAACATACCATGACAACTGCATCCACCTCAGGTGTTCCATCTTCTTTTATGCCAAACTCCTGGTTTTGAACGCAAAGCTGCAAATGAAAAGATACATCATGTGTAACACTGGTGAGTTTTTTGCCCTTTAGTTTAACAAAACCAAGTATCAGTCAAGGAGATTCCAGGTTTCAAATGAAAATGGATTGTTATGGGAAAATGGCAGGGAAAGGCTTTTTCCTAATTTCACAGTAGGGTAAAACATGCAAGGGCTCAAGTTCCCCTTACATAGAAAAAAAGGGAAAAAATTTGTATCAGAAGAAACTTTTAGAGGTCAAAAAGAAAGAGATCTCTAAAAATATAACTCAAAATCCATGCCCAAGCTGTACATTTAATTACATAATCCTCATTTAAGAAATGCTGAGGGGTAAGTGCACTCTAACAGACAAATGTGAATCCTGTACCCACCAGTAAAGTAAAATTTCCCCAGGCTTTACTATTGCCTAGAACCATGCCCGAGTGCAGCATTTTTCAAAACCCTGCCCGCAGGTTAAGCTGAAAATGACTATTCTGAACAATTACATAGACAACAAAAGCAAGCACGTGTTTAGTAAGTGCTGGGCTCTTGTGACACAGATCAGCAGAGAACTTGGAATACCACTGTCTCACTTTCAAAAGTGGCACTGCTGTTTAAAGAGGGAGAACACAAATGATTAACACAACACCAAGTCCGAGCCAACGATTAGTTACATGTGGACTGAAATTCAGCTGGCAAACTTGGATGAGGTTTCAGAATAATGCTGATCTTGCTGTGTTCCACACACTCTCTTTAGGCAGAGCCAGTCATTTGTAAAACTCTCTTCGTTTCCTTTTTTTTACTGTTTCTTTTTTTTACTCACTTCTACTTGTAAAAACCTTTTTTCTAGAACAGATAAGGATCTGAATAGTGGTACTGAAAGTGTTCTAACTAAACTGTACCACGTTGATAAGTTATAAACATCTATGACATTAAGCTACACTTCAGTTCATCTATTTCAGTAAAAATCAGTTAAGCAACTGATTCCTAAATTGGGAATAAAACATAATGAAGAGTGACTTTTACATGAACCAGCTTCATCTTCTCAGCACAGGTAACCGACAGCGCGTACCTATGAACTAGCAGTTTACATCTGTTAGGAAGTGTTTTTAAGATGCTACAGCATAGAAGGGATTACCGAAGCCATCACTGCGTAGCTGATGGAACTGCCAGTGTTTCCCCAAAAAGCCTCCATGTACCTGGAGCTCCAACTGGTAGTCAGTAAACCAGTTCCCCTATGTCAAGTGCTCATGCAGAAACCACTGCCTGGGAACATCAACACTAGCTGGGTAGCTTGTGGCTGGGAGAGCTGAAGTTTTCCCATTCAGAGCAGGTGGCACTGACACCCTGAGCTGGGGAGGCAGCAATACAGTGCCAGAAGACAAAAACAAGGTGGAGGAGATGCTATGCAGCTTACCACCTAACACAGGAAACTAGATTGCTTTCTCCTCCCTGGCGTAACACACACCAAGAAATAAAACACCTATCCAAGCACTGTTGCCACCAACAAAACATATGACAGTCCCATCCTTGCCTTCATCTCCCCTCTTTCGATTTGGGTAATTCCTCAGGGGCAAGGTCAAAAAAAAAAAGGCTTACAAGGAATGAATGGGAAGCGCAGCGAAAACTCGCAATCCACAGCATGAGGAACAAAACCATAATTTTTGTTCATATTACTATACAAATTACATGGTGTATTTTTCAGAAAAAAAAATTACCGTCTCCTGCCAATAATCGTAACTCCCATTCGTACCACGCTTACCACTCAGTTAAAAATATGAACACTTATTTTGCCAAAATAGTTCAAAGCAGAAGTTAGAGGTAACATTCATTGCTCTTCATAAGCCTGCTACAGTTTCATGATATTACTCGAAACGCTCTCACAAGCTGTAACATACCCAGAACAGAAGGCAGCCATAAGCATACATGTCCGAGGCTGGAGAAGCTGGCTGTCCCATTTTCAGTTCAGGAGAAACTAAGCTCAGGGTGCTGACAACCATCGTGTTCACAGCAGCGCGTTGTTCCTATGGGGGAAAAGCTGTACCCATAATTTCAAGCAAGACCAACAGCGCATTGAAGCAGATGTATCTCCTTCTTCCTTTCAATGTGTCGGACAACTTTACCATAGAGTTCTGTGCTGACCCAGACTGAAATGTAAAATCCTCCTTTACTGATCAAAAAAAAGTGGTGCATAAGGGAAAAAAAAAAAAAAAAAAAGAGATAATGTCACATATTTCTCAGCTGTAACTGTAACAGAAGAACAGGGATTGCAGATCTTACTCCATATCAGAACTATTAAAGCTCATAAGGTGATAAAGAATACAAACTGCCAATCTTCTCAATTTAGAAAAGAAAAAAAACCCACAAATATTAAAATACATTTGGCAGTATTTTGGAGAACTTTAGTTCTAAAGTTCAGTTCTGTCACCTCTCCTATTTTCTTCACTGACTTTCTGATCTTTACCTGAAACTAGCTGCTTCCTCCCTCCCGGTCTCCAGCGTATTTTAGGACTGTCTCCTATCAAAACAAAAGCTAGACCCTGAGTTTCGATCCCTTTCCATGACAGCAGCCAGCACCAGCTACAGCCAGACTGGAGAAGACCAGACTCCAGATTGCCAAGAGTCCTCGCTAACACATCAGTTACCAGCTCCGCTCATGTGGAAAGTACAAGCTCTGAGCAGTACTGACACCTGTATAGAGGGGGCACACACTGGATCCAGGCTGTGAACCATAGGTGGAACTTCCCTGCTCTATCACACATAAGCTGCTCGTTTCAGCACAGCCCATACCTGCAGGGAGAAGTAAAGGAAGGGACAATCTTCCTCAGCTCTTGCAATTTTCACGACACCATCTGTACCAAGTATGACCTTTCAGAAAATTCAGCTGTCAAAAATTTTTAATGCATCTCTCTTTAGCATGTTGAAAACTGAAGTTCAAGGGAAGCACACCTTGCTGTCCAAACATTTGACATCCTTCATGAGATTAATAGAAAATGCATTTCTAAAGCAGAAATAAGGGTTCCCCATGAAACTTACCATTACTAGATTCTCCCCAAGAATAACTATGAAATTCTCTACTACAGAAACTGAGGACTAAATCAGAAGTATATATATATATATATAGGCAACATGTAAAATTCCATTAATGTACCAAATACCATGACAGATTAAAACACTACTAGATCCCCATTAGCTATCAAACAGAAAGGCAAAGATTTCATATGAGTTTGACTAGCCCTTCTTCGAACATGAGTTCTTACTTTCACTTCTGATGACACTGATTGCCATTAAATATACAGGACAGCCAGCCAACAAACTACTGCAAATTCTCTTTTTTGTTCCGCTGTTCTGCTTAACCAGAGCCCACAGTTAGCAATTCACCTTTTCCCTCTCCAAGATTCCGTTGCGTTTACAAAAATTTCAACAAGACTCAGACTGCCCAACCCTATTCAGAATACGAAACGGGACTCTCACTGCTGAGCACAACATTTATCAATAAATCTTGTAAACTGCAAACACAGTTGTCTGTTTCGATATATAATTCTGACTAAAAGTCACTAAAGGATTTTTTTTTACCTCTGATTTCGTGAAATCAAAGTCTCCAACGATTCCTTGTTTTCGATTCACAGCAAAAACATTATTTCCATGCAGAGATCCATGTACTATATTAGCTCCATGCAACGTTTGTAGACCTTGGGCCACTCCTTTCATCACTTTTAAAGCCTCCTAATGATTTAATTTGGGTGTTTATTACAAAGATAGATATGGAAAACACAAAGCACAGTACCAACTAAGCTTCTATCCAGAATTCCCAGTAAGACTCTTATGACTTGCACAGTCAGGCAGGAAACAAGAAGAAAAATGCAGTCACTGTTTAACAAATCACTAACATTAAAAAAATACAGGGC